GGGAAGTAACAATTTTTATTGAATAGGCGATTTCTTTTTAAAATTCCTCCATGGCCATTAAAAAGCCAAATCGAGATTAATTTATCTACTATTCTGATGTTTGCATAAATACAACAAGAACGGTAACTGAAAACCATTATTAGAAACTGGTCTTATTGAATTTATGCAAAGAGATGTATTGCTAGATTTCGGAGGAATTATATAAGAAGAAAAATATATTGATTTATTCTAAGATTTTCTGATTTTCTTTGCTAATTTCTTTTCATGCATAACCATGCTTTAGATTTTTATTCTAACCAGGCTTTTTCTAGCTTTACTACCCCTGACATGGGCATGGTCATGCAGGCCTGCAAGCAGTACACAGGCTGTCAACTGTCAACTGTCTCTCAACAGTGACCAAAACCTGATGGGCACCATTCCCTGTTCAGTTGGGCACCTGCCCTCTCGGCAGCTAGGCACTCCTTACTTTCGGGGGTCATCCTGCACAGTTCTTTTTTTAGGACAACCACTATACATTCAAACCTGCAAGAGAATTAAAGGTTAATGTAACATATTAATACAATGAAACATAATACTGGCATCATGGCCGCTTTCAGGCAGCCAAATCTTCCGCTATTAAACATGTGATACTAAAGTCTATCCCCGATTTTTCTATAAATTGTCCCTGTCTCTTTGGAGCCATGTCCATGCAGATGCAGGCATCATCTAAGTCTATTGTGGGGGCTCCTGGCGACAGGAGTAATCGCGAGTTATGTCACCAGCATCAGGCAGGTGGAGCACGCCGTAGCTTGAGCTTCAGTGGGTTGCGTTGATCTCTTTCGACGTTCCATTTGGTGATGAAGTCTTTTTGGACCGTGGATGGGTCCGCTGACCGGACGTGAGTGTGATGGATCCAGGTCGCGACGCCGTCTACCTTGAGAGCAGTGGGGGTCGTTAGCACCACAGTGTAGGGACCCTTCCAACGTGGCTCAAGAGTTTCTTGATGATGCCTTTTGACGTAGACCCAATCTCCTGGTCTGTGTTGATGAGGAGTTGGAATTGGGCTGGTCTCATAGATGGCGCGAAGGCGTGGCCAAATGTCCTCGTGTGCCCTCTGGAGCCCTCTTAAGGAAAGAGATAGTTCTTGATTTTCAAATTCAGCGAGAAAGTCAGCTTTAAGGTTAGGAATGATAGGGGGTGGCCTGCCAAACATGATTTCATAGGGAGTAAAACCCAGGGTGTAAGGGGAGTTCCTTACCCGGTAAAGGGCATACGGTAGGAGAGCCACCCAGTCCCCGCCAGTCTCCATGGTTAATTTGGTAAGGGTCTCTTTTAAAGTTCTATTCATTCTTTCTACCTGACCTGAACTCTGGGGTCTATAAGCACAATGCAGTTTCCAATTTGCCCCAATAGCCCTGGTTACTACCTGTGTTACCTGTGAAATAAAGGCTGGCCCGTTGTCGGATCCTATCATAGCAGGAAAACCATACCTGGGTAAGATGTCTTCCAGCAGCTTCTTGGCCACCGTCTGAGCTGTTTCACGCTTGGTTGGGTATGCTTCTACCCAGCCAGAGAAGGTATCTATAAATACTAAAAGATATTTATAACCATACTTCCCTGGTTTAATTTCAGTGAAGTCGACCTCCCATTGTGCTCCAGGTTTGGTGCCTCTGAGCCTGGTTCCTTCTTTATTTGATCCAACCCTTGCGTTTGTGAGTTGACAGGTCTTGCAGGCTGACACAACCTGGTCTATCTTGGTATTCTGCTGGTGAATTTTGATCCTAGCATGTTGGATTAAGTCCTTCATTTTCCGGGCTCCCAGGTGAGTGGATTGGTGCATATGTTTTAATATCGTGTCCCCGAGCCAGTCCGGCAGTATAAGTTCTCCTTCTGGTGTATGCCACCATCCCTTTATTTCCTGGGCTTTAGGGAGCTTTTTGATACGTTGCAACTCCTCCTGGGAGTACTTGGGCTGGTCTGGTAGGACTGGGTCCCCTGGGTCTGGTAGTTGTAAGGCCATGGTAGGGACCGAGGTAAGGGCTACTGCCTTTGCAGCCTCGTCAGCCTTTTGGTTGCCTTTAGCTACCAGGTCATTGGCTTTTTGGTGTCCCTGGCAGTGGATTATGGCTAACTTGGCAGGAAGCCATAAGGCTGAGAGCAGGTCGAGGATTTCCTGCTTATTTTTTATTGTCCGTCCCTCTGCTGTCAACAGCCCTCTCTCCTGGTAGATTGCCCCGTGAACATGAGCTGTAGCAAATGCATAACGGCTGTCTGTGTAAACGTTAAGCCGCTTTCCAGCCCCCAGTGTCAGTGCCTTGGTGAGTGCAATGAGTTCTGCTCGCTGAGCTGATGTCCCAGGGGGCAGAGCCTCCGCCCACACAGTGTTCGTGTTGGCAACCACCGCCGCACCTGCGTACCTGCACCCGTTCCGCACGAAGCTGCTTCCATCCGTGAACCAGGTGGCCTCTGCATCCGGGAGGGGCCGATCGGTCAAGTCCTTCCGAAGTCCATGTACCTGCTCCAGGATTCCCGCACAGTCATGTAGTGGGGCATCTAGGTCAGGGTCAGGTAGCAGGGTAGCAGGGTTGAGGGCCGCACTGGGAAGGAACCGCACTCTAGGGGGGTTGAGCAGCAAGCTTTGATAGTGGGTCATGCGAGCATTGCTCATCCATCTATCAGGAGGCTGTTTTAGGATCCCTTCAATGGCATGCGGGGTTGTGATCCAGATCTCCTGCCCCAGGGTCAGTTTGTCAGCATCCTTGACTAAGAGCGCGGTTGCTGCAATGATTCTTAGGCACGGTGGCCAGCCAGCGGCTACAGGATCCAGCTTTTTAGACAAATATGCCACTGGGCGACTCCAGGGGCCTAAAGCCTGGGTTAAAACCCCTTTTGCCACTCCTTTGCGCTCATCTACAAAGAGGCGAAAGGGTTTTGTAATGTCTGGTAGGCCCAGGGCTGGAGTAGCCAAAAGAGCTTTCTTTATCTGATTAAAGGCCATTTCTTCTGTCTCAGTCCATTTAAAGGCCTTCCCCTCCTTGGTGGCTTCATATAGGGGCCTGGCGATCTCAGCAAAACTTGGTATCCAGAGGCGGCAATAGCCAGCCGATCCTAGGAACTCCCTCACCTCCCTCCGGGAGGTGGGAGCAGGGATTTTCAAGACTGTCTCTTTTCTAGCATCTGACAACCGCCGCTGTCCGCCCTCCAGTATGTACCCCAGGTAACTCACCCTCTTTTGGCATATCTGAGCCTTCTTCGCAGAGGCCCGGTACCCTAAGGTCCCTAGGGTGGCCAGCAGATCTTTGGTCCCTTGCTCACAATCTTTGGCGGTATCGGCAGCAATCAGGATGTCATCTACGTACTGAAGGAGAGTGAGATTGGGGTGCTCTCTCCTGTACTCACCAAGGTCTTCATGCAGCGCCTCGTCGAAGATGGTGGGTGAATTCTTGAATCCTTGGGGCAATCGCGTCCAGGTTAATTGTCCACTGTAGCCTTCCTCTGGGTCGTGCCACTCGAAGGCAAACAGGGGTTGGCTTTGAGGCGCTAGCGGCAGGCTGAAAAAGGCATCCTTCAAGTCTAGTACGGTATACCAGACTCTAGAGGGTGCCAGAGAGCTTAGGAGAGTGTATGGGTTGGGAACGGTTGGGTGTATATCCAGGACCCTTTTATTTACTTCCCTGAGGTCCTGGACTGGTCGATAATCATTCGTGTGGGGCTTTCTGACCGGCAGGAGGGGGGTGTTCCAGGCAGATTGGCATGGAACCAGTACCCCTAGGCTTCGCAGTCTCCGGATGTGAGGCTGGATTCCCTTCCGAGCCTCCTGGGACATAGGGTACTGTTTTACTCTTATTGGGCTTTCTCCTGGTTTTAGCTCAACCAGGGTTGGGGCCCTGTGGGCGGCCAGTCCTACTCCCCCCGTCTCTGCCCAGGCTGTGGGGAATTCTTGCAGCCATCTATTTATATTGTTCTCTACTGGGGGTGCCCCTTGGTGTAGGCGATATTCATCCTCCAGTCTCAGAGTCAGAACCTGGATGGGGTGGCCTTCGCTATCGGTAACCTGAGGCCCCCCTTGTCTGAAGGTTATTTGGGCTCCAATCTTGGTTAGCAAGTCCCGTCCTAAAAGGGGGTAGGGGCACTCCGGTATTACCATGAAGGAATGGGATACCCGGCCCGTTCCTAGATCTACTGTTCTTCGGGTAGTCCATGGATACTGGCTCATGCCAGTTGCCCCTTGCACCCAGGACTTTTTATTAGCAAGCTTCCCCTGAGGTGTGCGGAGAACCGAATGTTGTGCTCCAGTGTCGACAAGGAAGTCAACAGGGGTCCCCTCCACTCTAAGAGTTACCCTGGGCTCGGGGAGGGGGTCCGAACCCCGACTCCCCTAATCACTCAGTCCTTCCAGCTCCAAGACCTCCACCCGGTCCGTCTTGCTTCCCCTTTTACCGGCCTTCTTTGGGCATTCTCGGACCCAGTGCCCTATCTCTTTGCAGTAAGCACACTGGTTCTGTTGCAGTTTTTTCTTCCCACTCCGGGCAGTTTCCTTACCTCTTTCTTGGCCATCAGCAAGCTGGCGAAGGCGGCGGGTCCGCTCCTCAGGGGACTCCGTGGTGGTGGCTAGCAGAATCTTGGCCAGGTTTCGGGTCTGCTTGTCACTGGCAGCCACCATGGCGCGGGCTCGTCTATCCTCAGGGGACTCTCGGTTATTGAACACCTTCTCTGCCACTGCCAGTAAATCCTGTAAACTCTTTTCTCCTAATCTATCTATTCTCTGCAGTTTTTTTCTAATGTCCATGGCTGACTGGTTTATAAAACTCATGATTACAGCTGCCTTATTCTCAGGGGCTTCTGGATCCATGGGGGTGTAGGTGCGATATGCCTCCATGATCCGTTCTAGAAAGGCAGCTGGAGACTCATCTCTTCCCTGCTGTACGTTCCCTACCTTGGTCAAACTGGTGGGCTTCCTATCAGCCCTACGGAGACCTCCCATTAGAGTCTGGCGGTAAACCGAGAGCCTCTCCTTACCTTCTGCCATGTTGAAATCCCATTCAGGCCTAGTTAAAGGGAAAGAGACATCTATCTGGGCCTGGTTTGTGGTTGGATTTCCATCTACACCAGGAACCATCTTCCGGGCCTCATTGAGGATCCTTTCTCTCTCTTCCGTTGTGAACAGAACCTGTAAAAGCTGCTGACAGTCGTCCCATGTGGGCTGATGGGTGAAAAGAACAGAATCTAGCAAGTCAATAAGTCTCCCCGGCTTTTCAGAGAACTTAGGGTTCTGTGCCTTCCAGTTATACAAATCGCTAGTTGAGAAAGGCCAATAGATATGGGGCTGGTTGCCATTCGCATCCGGGGGTCCAGCGGCCCGTAAGGGCAAGGTCTTAATAGTGGAGTCGGGGGGTCTTAATAGTGGAGTCGGGGGCTGCGACAGACAGTTCCCGCTGAGCTCTTTGCCGGGTGAGAGGCGGGCCTCCTACCGGAACCGGAACTGAGGCCACTCCCAGAACCCCGCCCCCAGGCACTCCCGGAACTGCGTCCCCAGGCACTCCCGGAACTCCGCCCCCAGGCACTCCCGGAACCCCGCCCCCAGGCACTCCCGGAACTCCGCCCCCAGGTACTCCCGGAACTGCGTCAGCTTCCCGCCACAGGGCAGGATCAAATCTCTCCGGCATCCTGTGGAAATGATATGGGGGAGGAAAAATTAACTCTTCTTCAGTTCCCCCCTGCAAAACCGGGTAGGGGGGAGCTGGAGCTGACGGCAGGGTGGTTCTTTTCTCCTTCCTCTTCTCCGCTTCCTGCAAGGCAAAAATGGGTTCTGGCTCCGGAGGGTGTGGAGGTAGGAAGGGCCTAAGCCAAGATGGTGGATCTTCCACGAGGTCCTGCCAAGTAACAATGTAAGAGAGTTGACCAGGATGTCCCTCTTTGGGCTGGGAGACGATATCCCTAACCCGGCGGATGGTGGGGAGATCGAAAGTCCCCTCCGGCGGCCACCCGACATTAAAAGTCGGCCACTCCCTGGAACAAAAGGCCCGCCACCGGTCCTTCCGAACCTCCGCACTGAGGTTGCTGGCTCTTTCCTCTACCTCTTTAAAATGACAGACCATAATGCTTAAAGGAGTAGTTTGAGTCTGTCCCATAATGTCTATCCAGTAAATCCACAAAATAAAACCAAAAAAACACAAACACAGACAACTAAGGGGCCCTAAAATACAGTATTCCAACTCCATGGACGCGAAACCAAAATAATTTTCCAACTCCATGATGGTAAAAACCGAAAACGAAGCAAGGCTACTTCTACAGCCAGCGGAAGCTACCCGCCTACAGATTTCCCGACCTCGGAAGCAAAGCTAGTTCTACAGCCAGCGGAAGCTACCCGCCTACAGATTTCCCGACCTCGGAAGCAAAGCTAGTTCTACAGCCAGCGGAAGCTACCCGCCTACAGATTTCCCGACCTCGGAAGCAAAGCTAGTTCTACAGCCAGCGGAAGCTACCCGCCTACAGATTTCCCGACCTCGGAAGCAAAGCTAGTTCTACAGATACAGATGGAGGATCGAGGCGTCCCCCGACTCCTCCCGCCCTTTGTCCTCGTGCGTCCACGATCAATGTGGGCGAATACAGATTTCAGAAGTGAGCTCACACAGAAACAAACAAATACAAACATAAACGACACATACCGCGGTCAGCCAAGTCCTCCGAGCTGGGAGTCCCTCAATGGGCTTTGAGGATCCCGGGCGAGACCCCAAATGTTATGCCCAGATTCCAAGATCCCCAAAGAATTCCACACTGGGAGCCAGTTTCGATGCAACAGCAAAAGGACCTTTTATTTTAGGGCTAGCTAGACCGACCCCCGTTCCCGGCCGGCCCGGCCCTGCTCCCATGGGAAAATCCGGCTTAAATAGGGGGGTGACGCAAGGGGATTGTGGGCCCTGCCGATTGGCCAGGCGTGAGCCGGGTCTTGTTACACAGGATGTGGTCATATCTATGGCGCGCACTTCCCTTGATTGTCATTGGTTAGTTTAAAATCCCGGGCGCGGCCAGCAGAGGCCTGGGCTTCCGGGAAGAAGGCTACACGTGGCCCCAACATGGAGGAGATGGCGGAGAGCGCATAGCCCTCACCCTTTCAGTTTGTTTGATTGGTTGTTTGGTTGGTGTTAGGTTAGGTGGCTCAGGAGGCGGCGCAAGAAATACAGTCCAGTGAATCAGAAAAGAAAGGAAAGGAAAGTTTATTCTGCGTCCCCGGGAGACCCACGTACCCCCAAAGACAGGGCACGTGGATTCACGCCAACATGGAGGGGGGCGCTTTTTTTATACTGCGGTTGGGTGAGGGGCGGGGACATGAGCTGAGGTATTCAGTTGAGGAAGCTTCAGCTGCAGGGGGGTCAGCAAGGTATTCAGGAATGAGTCAGCATCTGTGTGGGGGTATGTGGATTCAGGGAGAAGAAGCCAGGTATCTGTGTCTAGCACGTTGATCTGTGAGAAATTCCAGGGGGAGTCCATTGTCTCATCACATGTCTGCATGTATCCGATCCTGGGCTCTCTCCGACCTAACAAAAATAATTAATACAAAGTGGCTCATACAAAAAGCTGTGGAGGGCGGAAGAGATGCCTCTGGGAGAGACTGAGATGACTGAAAGGGGCAGGAATGGGTAAAGATAAGCACTTCTCCTAGTTTCTAACACAGAGCCCTCCAGCTGCCCAATGACTGGAAGAGGGCTCCCGCAGGCAGGGGAGGGGCACAGCAGGGCCAAGTGACCCTCAGGGGCCCAGACAGGTGAACTGCAGGGTCTGCCCTGCCAGCTGTGTCCCACACAGCACCATCTGCTTGTGCTGCAGAACTCGATGGGTAGCCCAGAGCAGCTCCTTTGACAGTGAGCACAGTAGCCCGCAATGCCTGGCCCAGCACTGTACCTGCAGCCCTGACCTATGCTTGAGGAGGGGCGGAGGCTGACAGCTGGCCCAGGGTGTTCCCAATGAACAGCAAGTGCTGAGCAACCACCTTCACCTGCTTGCCAAGCGGCATGAAGAGGCCTGGGGGCTGGTTGGCCCAGGTGCTGGACATCAGGGCCACCACAGCTGCCTACAGTGTCGAGTGTTGGCTCTGGCACTGCCATACATAGGAGTGCAGGAGCTGTTGATCTCCATGGGGCAGAAGCACCGGGTCCCCTGAGGACAGGACCTCCTGCTGCTCCTGTGGCCCCAACTTCCTCAGTTTAGGATCCGCTGGGAAGGCCTCATCCAGGCTCCTACAGCCCTGAGAATGCTGATTTCTAAAACATATGCTAGACACTCTACAGACTCTATCTCATTGAATCCTCACAATAATATCATGAAATGGTTGTGGCTATGCCCACTGTACAGATGCCACTGACTGAGGTTACTCCACTGAGAAATGAGAGTCCAGGATTTAGACTCAGAATTTGTCTGACAGCAACATCCGTCCTAAAATGTTGACATCAATCCGGGGCAGCTGTTGTTTGTTACCTCAAGACTGCAACCGAAGGCAGAAGCAGTTTTCACAGAAATGAAAATGAAAGATCTAGGCGCTAGCTTGTTGGGTGGGGCAGGCCGGCAGTGGGGGCAGATGGAGCTGAGGATGGCTGCGCCCAGCCCCCCGCTGCTGGCGTGAGAGTCCTGGGGCTCTGGGGCCCCACCCCCCCGAAGAACTTTCACACTAAGTTGCAAGAGGACTTTCAGAGCCTGAAGAGATCGGGAGACCGGAGCCTGAGGTCAGCCAGGAGCCGGGCAGCCCGACCCGCTCCCGGCGCTCTTCTGCCGCGAGGATGGTGAGGGGACGCCCCGCGGGGCGGGTGAGGAGGGGGCGACACGGCCGCCTGGCGCTCAGCACTGGCACAGGCACATGCGCGACACTTTGTAGCCCAGAGACCCCACGGACCTCAGAACCCTCTTTTCTGGGGACTTTCCACCCTAACTTGTTCCGAAAGAGAGTGCGGGGCATCTTTTCCCCCTCAACTTTTAAAAATACTCCTTATAAGTTAGGAATATTGGTCCTTTATCTCTGATATAAATTACGAATATTTCCTTCCAGTTTGTCATTTGTCTTTTGAGCTTGCTTATGGTGGCCTTTTTCCCCACGCAAATTTTTATTATTATGTAGTAAAATGTACCAACCTTTTTGTTTTACTGCATCTGGACTTTAGTCATATTTTAAAAGTTTCCCCCCTACACCCAGGTTATTATCACCCATGCCTTTTTATGTTTTTTATATTTAGATCTCTGGTAAATTTGGAATTTATTCTTGTATATGGTTTGAGGAATGGATCTAATTTAACCGTTTTTTCTGAATGGGTAACCTGTTGTCCCAAAAACCAATTCTGTGAATCCATTTAAATTACTTCTTGTAGATCTTCCATTTTGTTTCATTAGTTCACTTTATTAAAAAGATTAGCATTGCCTCAATACTTGAGATACCAGTATTTCATTTACTACATTTTTTTAAAAAATGTCATTTGGCTATTTCTGAACTTCGGTTCCACTGACCTGTTTATTCATCTGTTGCAGAGAATTTGTTATATATTTTCATGTCAGGGCTAGTCCCCCTACTGAGCTCTTCCTCCTTAGTGTTTTCTTAGCTATTCTTGTGTGTTTATCTTTTTTATGAACTTTAGGATTGACTTATAACTTATGATCAGTGTCAAAATTGGGATTGCATTAAATTTATAAATTAAATTACAGACAGCTGACATCTTGAGGTGGTGTGGAGATGTTCTAACCAAGAACAAAGGTGGCCATTTCATTTGCTCAAGTCTACTCATTCCATTTTTGGAAATTTAGAAATTTACTGCCCTGGCTGAGGAGAGGGTCTTGTGTTCCATAATATTAATTTATCAACCTGCATTTCTTAAGTATCTGCTATGTTGTAGATATCTTTTTATTTTTATTGTTTTAGTGTTTTATGTGATTCCATTTAAATTGTTATCTGTACATCTTGTTTCATTATTTGAAAATTTTTTACCTTGGTACAATTAGTTAAACAGATATAGCATTTCATTCTACAACTTTTGGGGTGTCTACAGTTATCATTTTTAACCTATTAAGGATTCATATTATTGTATTTGGCTGTTTATTGTGAAGTATGAATTGATATTTAATTTTCTTCATAATGAAAACTAACTTCCCAACAATATTTATAAAATTATGATTCATTTCTTTACATTCTTATTCCTCTTAATACTTCATAGATTATACTTTTTGATAAGTTAAATCTTATTTCTGGAATTTTTATTACACTCTTTCATATTATCTATTCTTAATTTAGAACTATTTAGTTCTGTACTTATTGTTTAAAAATGCATTTTAAAAAGACTATTTTTTAGAGCAGTTTTAGAGTCACAACAAAATTGACCAGAGGACACAGAGAGTTCCCATATACCAACTTTATTATTTTTAAAAATATGTTTTCATTTATTTTTAGAGAAAGGAAAGAAGAGGGATAGAGAGAGAAATACCAATGAGAGAGAAACATCATCAACTGGTTGCCTCTGCACACCCTCTACTGGGGATTGAGCCTGAAACCTGGGCATGTGCCCTGATCTGGAATGGAACTAGTGATCTCTTGGTTCATGGGTCGATGTTGACCATTGAGCCACATTGGCTGAGCAAACTTTTTTTTAAAAAATATTTTAAAATTTATTTCAGAGAGGAAGGGAAAAGGCGAGAGAGATAGAAATCAATGATGAGAGAAAATCATTGATTGGCTGCCTCCTACATACCCTACACTAGGGATTGAGTCTGCAACTCAGGCATGTGCCCTGACGGGAATCAAACTGTGACCTCCTGGTTCATAGGTTGGTGCTCAATCACTGAGCCATGCTGGCCAGTCAGGCCCACCTTTATTTCTTAGAACAGTTTTATGTTCACAGTAAAATTGGCCACGATGAAAAATGGAAGTCCCTGTTCTCCCTATAATGTCTATAAATGTCTGCTCATACTCAATCTTCCTAGTGAATAGGCAGTGTTGGTTTTTTTTAACATTAAAAAAATATTTTTATTGATTTTAGAAAGGAAGGGAGAGGGAGAGAAACATTAATGATGAGAATCACTGATCAGCTGCCTCTTACACACCCTCCTATGGGGATAGAACCTGCAACTCAGGAATCAAACTGTAACCTCCTGGTTGATAGGTTAAAGTTCAACCACTGAACCACACCAACTGGGCAATACCAACTTTTAAAAAAAATCTTTATTGTTCAGATTATTACAGATGTTCCTCCTTTTCCCCCCTATAGCTCCCCTCTACCTGGTTCCCATTCAATCCCAGGCCCTCGCCCCCCAACTGTCCTTGTCCTGCCGGAAGCCGGTCCATCCTTGCTGCTTGACACAGTCGCTGCAGGAAAGAAACATCTGCATAGCATATGTTTCAAGGGACCTGGCATATATAGCATATTGTTCTTAATATGTTTGCTCTCCTTAGTGCCATGTGTTTTAACCAAGGTCACCTCTCTGAGAAAGGTTGTTTCCCCAGGTGGGGATTTTTCCCTGAGGTTAGGGAGGGGATACAACCCCTTAATTAAGTGCCAGGCGGGTAGTTAAGCTACATAATCTTTACTCCCTGGAATGGAGAGAAGAAACGCCCTAACCTTTGTAACAGAAATTGACAGGATTAAAATCGGCTGGTATAAATACGCATGTAACAAGACAATAAACATCAGATCCTCATCAGATCCTCATCAGTTCCTAACCAGAACTCCGACCAGAACTTTGGCTGGAGATCCTGGCTAGAGGTCCTGACTAGGCTGCTGATCAACTGAAGGCTGTCTTCGTGTCATTCCTTCTTCGCCGACTCCGTCCACACCTTTGGGGACCCCTGGACCCCCTGGGATTGGACCCCAGCATTGTCCATAGGTGTAAGATCTTTGTCCAATCTCTTCCTGCACTCGCCACACCCCCTTCCCCTTGAGAATTGTCAGTCTGCTCCCTTTCCATGCCCCTGATTCTATTACATTCACCAGTTTATTCTGTTCATCAGATTTTTTATTCATTTGATTTTTAGATTCACTTATTGATAGATATGTATTTGTTGTCACTTCATTGTTCATAATTTTTTATCTTTACATTTTTCTTCTTCTTCCTCTTCTTAAAGAATACCCTTCAGCATTTCATATAATACTGGTTTGGTGGTGATGAACTCCTTTAGCTTTTTCTTATCTGTGAAGCTCTTTATCTGACCTTCAATTCTAAATGATAGCTTGCTGGGTAAAGTAATCTTGGTTGTAGGTTCTTGGTATTCATCACTTTGAATATTTCTTGCCACTCCCTTCTGGCCTGCATAGTTTCTGTTGAGAAATCAGCTGACAGTCGTATGGGTACTCCCTTGTAGGTAACTAACTGTTTTTCTCTTGCTGCTTTTAAGATTTTCTCTTTGTCTTTTGCCCTTGGCATTTTAATGATGATGTGTCTTGGTGTGGTCCTCTTGTTTGGGGTTCTCTGTGCTTCCTGGACTTGTAAGTCCATTTCTTTCACCAGGTAGGGGAAGTTTTCTGTCATTATTACTTCAAATAGGTTTTCAATATCTTGCTCTCTCTCTTCTTCTGGCACCCCCATAATTCAGATGTTGGTACGCTTGAAATTGTCCCAGAGGCTCCTTACATTATCTTCATATTTTTGGATTCTTTTTTCTTTTTGCTCTTTCGGTTGGGTGTGTTTTGCTTCCTCGTATTTTAAATCTTTGACTTGATTCTTGGGATCCGCTAGTCTACTGTTGAATCTCTGTATATTAGTCTTTATTTCAGTCAGTGTATGCTTAATTTCTGACTGGTCCTTTTCCATTTTTTTTTTTGGCATTCTCACTAAGATCCTTGAAGGTCTCACCAAGTTCCTCAGAGGTTTCTAGAAGAGTCTTGAGTAACCTTATAACTGTGGTTTTGAACTCTATATCCAGTATTTTGCTTTCTTCCATTTCTTTCATTTGTGACATGTTTCTTTGTCTCTACATTTTGGCTGCTTCCCTGTGTTTGTTTCTATGTATTGGGTAGCTATTAAATCTCCTTGAGTTGATAGACTGGCCTTGTGTGGTAGGTGTCCTATAGGGTCCAGTGGCTTGGCCTCCCCAATCACCTGAAGTGGACACTCTTGGTGCACCCCTTTGTGGGCTGTGTGCACAGTCTTGTTGTAGTTAAGCTTTGATTGCTATTGGTATCACTGGGAGGAATTGACCTCCAGGCCAGTTGGCTGTGAGGACTAGCTGTGTCTACAATGGAAGAGCTGCTGTGCAGGAGACACCCTTATGGGGCAGGACTTGCTTCAGTGGGGCTTTGGTGCTCATTGAATCTGTCCCTTGAGTATGTCACTTATGGATGTGAAGAGTTGCAATCTGGTATGGTCTGAGAGTGACCACTGGGTACACTGGCTCTTGGATCTCCAAGGAGGTGCAAAGTCAGCCACTGCCTGGGGCCACCAGCAGGACCTACAGAGAGATCTGCAGATTCCTCCTCTTTGTATGCGGTTTGGAAGTGCCCAGATGAGGCCCAGCTGTGAAGCAAGGCAGGCTGCTGCTGCCAGCCTTGGGCCTTCTTTTAATAGCTTTGGGGCTCTGTGACCCAGCAGTTGCCTGTTTAACAGGTTTTAAGCTGAGAAAGGACAGGCCATTCATATTCAAAAGCCACTGTGCACAGCTTGGGTGGGGATGTAGATTGGGTGGGGCAGGGTCTTAGAGAATCACCAGGGCAGAGCAAACAGCAATGGCTTCCATTCAGCCCTGCACCAGGGAGGTCCCAGTGCAGGAACAATGACCACTGTGAGCACCTCTGTCTGAAAGAAAGCCGCCCTCCTGTTCCTGTCCCAATGCCAGGCAGTCCAGTTTCTCCCCGTATGTGTGTGGGTTCCCCAGAGTCTTGCCCAGAACTGGAGTTCAGAGCAAGTGGGAGCTTGTATCTCCCTCCCAATTGAAAAAGCAGCACTCCTTGCCAAAACCGGTTTGGCTCAGTGGATAGAGCGTCGGCCTGCGGACTGAAAGGTCCCGGGTTCGATTCCGGTCGAGGGCATGTACCTGAGTTGCGGGCACATCCCCAGTGGGAGATGTGCAGGAGGCAGCTGATCGATGTTTCTTTCTCATCAATGTTTCTGGCTCTCTATCTCTCTCCCTTCCTCTCTGTAAGAAATCAATAAAACATATAAAAAAAAAAAGAAAAAGAAAAAGCAGCACTCCCAGGTGCTAGCCCATTCCGTGCCTCTGCACCTACTACCAGTCTCAATGTGCTTTCTTCACCTCTCTGGTTGTAGTACTTCCACTTAGCCAGCTTTCCCATGGTTCTGGATGATAGTTGTTCTGTCGTTTAGTTGTAATTTTGATGTGATTGTGAGAGGCAGCAAGTACAGGTGTTTACCTATGCCACTATCTTGGTTCTCCAATCTAGGCAGCGATTTTGCATTTTGGTTAGCTTTGTAGATTGCCCTTTCATTATGCAGTAACAGAAACTTCTTTCTTTTCAGTAACAAGTTGTAGGTCTATTATTTTAGGTCAATGGATGAACACCATCATTTACTGTCATGTTTGTTACTTTCATTTTTCTGTGATTGGGTGAGTATAAATCTGTCTTTACAAAGAATAATATTTAACTTCACATGATCATTTAGCCAAAGAGTCACTATTTTTAAAAAATAAGGCAATGAGTGGAATCTATTTTTTAAAAGTATTTAAAACATCAGCAAGTAATATAAAGAACAGGGCCTTTCAAATTTCGAACCAGATATAAAAACTAACATTTTAAGTATTTTTGTCTCCCTAAAAATTGCCAAGTTGGAAGACCTCAGTACAAAAGTAATCCTTTTCAGAAGAGAGAGGAAAGTGATGAAATGAAAGTTGATGAAATAGATGAATTTTAAAAAGACCCTTTGCAAGCCTCCCTGCTGGTTGCATTTTATAATATCCAAGATGACGTGACTGAGAATGGGCTACCCTTGCTTTCGAAGTTGATTCGTGGCCTGTCAGAAGTCAATGGTGATTTCAGGGTGGAAGTAATATCTGATACTAAAGTTGCTGTCATCACTTTTCTCAAAAATACTGGTAAGACAGACAATGACTTCTAACCCTTCTTTGCAAATTGTGGTTGTATTCTATTTTGAGGTTAAAGGCATCACCCAATGGGTCTTAAAAGTTGTGCTTTTTCTAACTCCCAGTGAGAGAACTGCAAGGGAATATGTAGTACTATTTCTGGTACTTCTAATAGCAAACATTTATCAAGTGCTTACTCTATGCTAAGCACTATGTTATCTCATAACATATAGCACAATGAGATAGATACTACTATTATTGTCCTCATTGTAAAGATGAAGAAATCCGGGGTTAGAGAGGATTAAATGATTTGTTCACAGTCACACAGCTAGTAAGTATTTGAATCAAAATTCCAAATTAGACATTCTGACTTCTGAGTATATTGTCTTAAACATTGTGCATGTACCCTCAACTTTCCAGTGAGTTTTAATAGTTACAGGATGTTATCTTTATGATAATTACACATGCAAATAGAGATGGAGATGTGGTGAAATGAGTAGAGGGGACCAAGAGAAATTAGGCCTAGGAAACAATATTGTATTACAGTCATTATTACTGTTATCAGCTTACAATGAGGCTGCATATACTTGATTTCATTTGGAGAGGTAACTGCGGATCCATGTTTTCAAAATAATCTCAAATGGAGGTCACTGTTAATGTTGGCTGTGCATTCAGGGTAGGCAATGTGGGTTAAGTAGAAGTTGACACTGTAAAGTTTAACTTTACATAGAAATTTAGTCATGGCTTCTAAATTAAATTACTTTAAAAATCTGTTTTCTTCTAATATGAAATGAAATTACAGTACCGATAAACTTATTTTTATTTGTAGATGGCTGGACATTTGTTAATGTTTGTGACAGACACCATAGAGCTCAGAAACTTCAGATTTTCCCAAGATTTATGGAATGTGCAAGACCCATTAAGGGTTGAAAATCTGCCACCTCATGTTGATAATAGTTACATAATGATTTTCTTTGATAACCAATCCTCTAAATGGAGAAAGAGTGACCAATGTCTAATATTTCCCGGAGGAGAGTTCAGCCTTGGTTGAATTTTCTCACTACAAAGGTAATAAATTTCTCTTCTTTCTCTATGTTTACAGTTATTATTAACCATTTCATGCACAAATGAAATCAGAATAAGAGCCATATAGGTGATTGGGAAATACATCAAAGTTACCACATACCTACTGAAATATGTTATGAATTAACTCAAGGCTTTGAACATGTCTCTGTGGAGATCTAGGTAAAAGAATTGTTCTTTTTGTGCAGTAGCAAAACAACAAAAAACTTCTTTTGACCCTACTTTTCCTATAACTTTATTTCTTTGCTTCCCTTTGCAGCAAAATTTCTCAATTGAGTTTATCATTACTCACTCTCATTTTCTCTCCTGTCACTCTTTCTTTTTGTTTTGATGTATATATTATTCTTTATTTTTTTTACAGTTTACATTCAGTATTATGTTTTATTAGTTTCAGGTGTACAGCACAGTGGTCAGACAATCATACATTTCACAAAGTGCTCTCTCCACCCCCTGATATTTCCAGTACCGACCTGGCACCATGCATAGTTATTACAATATGACTGACTATATTTTCAATGCTGTACTTTACATTCTTGTGACTATTCTGTAACTACCAATTTGTACTTCTTAATCCCTTCACTTTCTTTACCCAGTCCCCCAACCCTGTCCCCTCTGGCAAACATCAGTCTGTTCTCTGTATCTATGAGTCTGTTTCAATTTTGTTTATTTATTATTATTTAAAAAAAATTTTTAAAATATATTTTATTCATCTTTTACAGGGAAGAAGGGAGAGGGATAGAGAGTTAGAAACATCAATGAGAGAGAAACATTGATCAGCTGCCTCCTGTGCACCTCCCACTGGGGATGTACCCGCAACCAAGGTACATGCCCTTGGCCAGAATCGAACCTGGGACCTTTCAGTCCGCAGGCTGACACTCTATCCACTGAGCCAAACTGGTTAGGGCTGTTTATTTTGTTCTTTAGATCCCACACATAAGTGAAATCATATGGTATTTTTCTTTCTTTGATTGACTTATTTCACTTAGCATAATACCCTCTAGGTCCAGTCATGCTATTGCAAATGATAAGATTTCTTTTTAAAATTTTTATGGCTGAGGAACATTCCATTGTATATATGTACCACAGCTTTATTGTCCATTCATCTATTGATGGGCATTTGGTTTGCTTCCATATCTTGGCTATCTATATATATAAAAGCCTAAGTGACCATTTGACCGTCTGACCATCTGACTGGTAGCTATGATGCACAATGAACACCAGGCGCTCAACTTAGGAGCTACCGAGTTGTGGTGACTTGGCAGCTGCGGTTCTCAGGTGTTGCACCTGGAGCCAGAGAGGAAGGAGCCCGATTCCAGGGTGCATCACCCAAGAACCGCCCTCTCACAATCCAGGACCCCTTGGGGGATGTCGGAAAGCTGGTTTTGGCCCTATTCCAGCAGGCCAGGCTGAGGGCCCCCACCAGTGCATGAATCCATGCATTGGGCCTCTACTTATAAATAATGCTGCAATGAACATAGGGGTGCATTTTTTTTGAATTAGTGTTTTGAGTTTCTTCGAATATGTACCAAGAAGGGGAATCACTGGTTCATAAGGCAGTTTCATTTTTTTAGCTTTTTGAGGACCCTCCACACTGTTTTCCATAGTGGCTGCACCAATCTGCATTCCCACCAGCAGTGTACTGGGGTTCCCTTTTCTCCACATCCTCACCAACACTTGTTTGTTGACTTATTGATGATAGCCATTCTGACAGGTGTGAGGTGATATCTCATTGTAGTTTTAATTTGCATTTCTCTGATTATTAGTGACCTTGAGCATCTTTTCTCATTCTTTCTTAAATTAATTCGAGAGAGGCTTTTACTTCCATCATTCCATCCAAACTGCTCTTGTCCAGGTCACCAATGGTCACCAGGTTGCTAAAACTCAATAGCCATTTTTCAGTCCTCATTTTAGTTGATCTCTTAGCAGTATTTGACTTAATCACTCTCTCCTCCTAGATGCACTTTCTTTATTTGTTGTCAGGACATCACACCTTGGTTGTTATTTTTACCTCAATAGCTGCTCATTCTCTTTATTTATTCATTCATCTTCTTTTTCTTAGTTCTTAATGTAGGATTCAGTGCTCTTCTCTCCTTTGTCTATACTGCTGGGGGCCAGCCCCAGCGGTCCAGGGGTTCCTAAAGGTGTGGATGGAGTCGGCGAAGAATGTTTTACACAGAAACAGCGTTCAGAACTCTCTAGCTTTCCTTATTCTCTGTGGATCTTCCCTGTGCCTGGCTGAGGCCACAGAAAAAGATCCTAAGGCAAGCTGAGCCTCTATTTTATAGTGAGAGGTAAACAAGGTAGTGGTTTCTATAGTTACACAGTTCTTGTGAGTTTCACTTGTTTTGACCATAGTTACACTTCCTGCACTTCCCTCAGCCCATTAGCTTCCCAGATAAGATCTAGAGAGCCTCATAAGGTCAAGCCTAATTATGCTAAGAGGACTGTGCCCTCTAAGCTGGGAATTGTTTGTGACTTTGCCCACAGGTCAGTCCGAGGCTTAACCCTATATCAGCTCCCCACACTATACATAGTTTTATTGAGGCCTAATGGCTATAAATACTATCTATGTACCCATGACTTCCAATTTATATCTTGTCAAGATTCATGAGCTCCAATGTTCACATTCACTGCTGAGTCAATGTGTTCACTTGGTTGTCTAAAAGCATCTGATGTAACCGTTACGTGCCCCAAACAAAACTCCCAACCTTGTCACCCCACCCTACCAACCTGCATTATCCACAGGCTTTCCCATCTCAGTTGAGAGCAACTTCATTCTCCTAGTTGCTAAGGCCAAAACATGGGAGTCAAGCTGACTCCTTTCTTTCTTTCATAGCCCATAGCCAGTCTGTAATGAAATCCTATTCACTCCACCTTCATGATGTATTCAGAATCTGATCACTTCTCAAAGGGCATATTAAGAATTTGGAAAATTGAATGAACCATTTTGAAGGCAGGAACAATCTCCTAAAGTACTTATGCCACAAAGCAGTTTATATTTCGGATAATATGACCAAATAAATACCATTTAAAATTATTTTATTTTATTTTTAAATATATTTTTATTGATTTCAGAGAGTAGGGGAGAGGGAGAAAGAGGTAGAAACATCATGATGAAAGAGAATCATTGATCAACTGCCTCCTGCATGCCCCACACTGGGGATCAAGCCCGCAACCAGGGCAAGTGCACTAACCGGGAATCGAACCCTGACCTCATGGTTCATAGGTCGATACTCAACCAATGAGCCACATCAGCTGGATTAAATACCTTTTTTAATGGTCATATGCATTTTATTTTCTATTCTATTATATATTTAAATATATTTTAAACAAACTTTTGTTAAGATCCTTAAAATTTATATCACTGGCATAGTGGTTAGAGGTTGGCTTCCAGCAATGACTTTGACACAAAGGTTAAGAGTTTTAACCTTATTCCCCACTGTCTCCACCAGCCTGCCTCTTCAAGCCATCCTAAATAAGCATACAATCTATATTATTTTTCTACTGCTGCATACAAAATTACCCCCAAACTTAGTGGTTTTACATAACATAAATTTGTTATCTCACACTTTCTGTGGGCCAGAACGTGAGAACAGTTTCACTGGGTGACTCTGGCTCAGGATCTTTCATGAGATTGTTAGGACAGTTCTAATGATTTTTAAACTTTTTAAAAGTTTTCAATTATAGTTGACATTCAATATTGTTTATATTAGTTTCAGGTGTACAGCATAATGGTTAGACACTTATATAATCTACGAAGTAAATTCCCCTGATAAGTCTAGAACCCACCTGCCATCACACACAGTTATTACAATAGTTCTAATTTTTTTTTTTAAATTTAGCATTATGGCCCAATGCTCAGTGGTTGGAGTGTTGTCCCATGTACCAAAGGATCTCAGGTTGGATTCCTACTAAGGACACACACCCAGGTTTTGGGTTCCTTTGGGAGGCAACAGGTCAATGTTTCTTTCTCTCTCCCTTTCCCTTCCTGTCTCTCTCTCGAGAACATATTGGGTGAGGATTAAAAACATTTGCATTATATTAAGCCCAAATATATTTTTGTATAGTTCTATCTATTAGTCCTTGTTCTTCCTTTTAGAGTTGTAGAAATAAATCATTTTTAAGATAGTCCTTCAATTGTTTAAGGACAACTGTTATGTCCTCTTCCCTGCATTCCATCCCTCTTCACCACATTTTACTTCTCTACTTCTGCAAGTTAAATATATTTATTTCTTTTTATATATCCAGATGTGATTAGAGTCCTTTTTAGCAGCACCAGTTTCCCTCTTTTGAACAGTTAGTTTTCATAATCCCTTTGCAAAGTGTGACACCTTGCAATAAGCACCATACCCCTGTTTTTACCAGTGGAAAGTAGAAGAGGGTTTTCACCACCCACATTTCTACTGCTATGTTTCTCATATTATGGTCTCATGCCTCGTCATTACCTTTTTTTAAAAAAAGAAAAAAAGAATGGACTTTATTTTTAGAGCAATTACAGAAAAAAATTGAGCAGAAGGTAAAGAGAATTACCCTGGCCCCAGTTTTCCCTAATACTAACATCTTGCATTATTGTAGTATATCTGTTACAATTGATGATAAAATATTGATACATTATTATTAACCAAAGTCCATTACATTAGAGTTCACTCCATGTTATATGGTTCTGTTGACGTAAAAACATTCAAACCTATAAAGAATTTTTGTGAATTTATTTGAGCCAAACTGTCGACAAGTGCCAGGAAGCAGAATTTCAATGGATTGGGATAATGCTCCTGAGAATGGTGGTTTTTCATCTTGTTTTCTACCTTACACCAAAAGAGGAGATGTAAGTGGGTTACATGAAATCCATTGGTGATAGATTAGGGAGGTGGGAGAAAGCAAAGCAGGGAAACCTCTGGGATTGGATAAAAAGTAAAATGATAGACACATTACTTAGGTGGGTGCAGGATAGTTATTAGTCAACAATTATCATGATAACAATGAAGGAATTTATGGTCTCAATCCTGGCTCATTTGGTTGTGTCTCAAGGGGGTCTGGAAAAAAGGAAGTTACAAATTACCCTGACATTTCAAGGATATGTTATCGTAGATGCAGAAAGACAGATAGGCTCAGTTAAGTAAGGATTGCCTAGGAGGTGACTACCCACCATAACTGCTTTTAGTTAAAGTTTAATTTTACACCATCCTTTGACCTTCCCTGAGCTTGTCAGGTTAGAATATGTGGCCCCTTTTGTCCACAGTTCTATGGATTTTAACTAATGCATAATATTATGTGTCTACAATTACAGTTCCATACAGAACAATTTCAGAGCCTTAAATATCCCCTGTGCTCCACCTATTCCTTCCTTCCTCCCTCCTCCAAACCCCTGGCAGCCACTGATATTTGTGTACTCTCTATGTAATGTTTCCATAGTTTTGCCTTTTTCAGAATGTCATATAGTTGGAATCATGCAAAATGAAGCCTTTCAGAGTGGCACTTTTGCTTTAGCAATAGGCATTTGCATTCCTCCCTGTCTTTTTGTAGCTTGATAGCTCATTTCTTTTTCTCTCTGAATAATATTCTATTTTACAGAAGTACCGCAATTTATTAGACATTCATTTATTGAAAGACATCTTGGTGGCTTCCAAGTTATGGCTACCTACACTAATAAAAGAGAAACATGCACATTAGTGTCACTCCGCTATGCCCACCAGCCAATCAGGATACTTATACTTAACCCAACAAAGATGGCGGTTAATTTGCATACGCAAGCATGCAGTGAAGACTGAAGGCTCTGGCTGGAGTGAAGACTGAAGATTGAAGACTGAAGAGGCTTGGCCACAATGGAGAGGCCTAGCCTTGCTGTGGCTGGACCAAAGGTCTGGGTCCTGGGTGCTGGAGGAAAACCGGTGCCGGCAGCCAGGGGAAGGAAGGCCTGTTGTGCAAATCTTTGTGCAATGGGCTTCTAGTTATGAATAAAGCTCTATTGCTGCTATCAGCATTTATGTGTAGGTTTTGTGTGGATATAATTTTTCAACTCACTTGGGTAAATATCAAGGAGAGCAAATGCTGGACCATATGGCAAAAGTGTATTTAGTTTTATAAGAATCTGCCAGACTGTATTCCAAGGTGACTGCATCATTTTGCATTCCCACCAGCAATAAATGGGAGTTCTTTTTGCTTTGCATCCCTGCCAGCATTTGGTGACCTTTCCCCTCATCAAACACAGTTACATCACTTTTAGTTTATACCGAGTTTGCTGTGAACCAAAATCCCTTAGATGTTTTTACATGACTTCATGGCTAAGTCACATTCTCTTTCTTCTAAACTCATGCAGTTCATCTTCAGACTTCCCTAAGTGCTCTTTCTTCCCATTGGTGCCTCTCCCAGATGCCCTGGGGTCTCTTATTTATTAGGTGCACTTATAACTGCTGTATGTCTTGCTGTGAAGGACTTTGGGAGACTGAAGTTCAGAAAACTTGAGGTGTCTGGGAGTTTACATTCATCTCCCAACAAGGAGGGCCCATAGACAACAGCTGACTGGTATGGAGGTACAAGAACCCAGATCCCTTGTCTCAATTGTGATACAATTTATATTCTCCAGAGCTTCTTAAAGGATCACACAGAAGCCAGGCTTAACCTAAACCACATTATCTATCTTCTCTCACTTACAGGTTTCTCTTGAGGGCACAACTTTAATAAATCACTTGCATATGAATTCCCATCCTAGGCTCTGCTTCTAGAGAATCTGACCTTGTTTTATGACTTCTTTTGATTACAGCACACAATTGTTTTCAATATTTTTGACTATTATAACTATTCCTTTAAAATGGCATTGGCTTAACTTCTAATAGGTTATTTTGAACTATTCATGCATTATTGTTTGTGTCTGTTGAATCTCTAAGGGCCAGATTTTTCTTTTTACTTACAAAAAATTTCAGGGCCAGATTTTTCAGAAAAAACAATCACCTCTCCCATATTATATTGAATGTCAATGGAAAATCTGA